GACACCGGTTCAAACATATATGGCTGAACTAGCAGTTTCTGACATTTCCAGTGCGTGAGAGAGTGTTTTGTTATTGCTGGCATGCCGGTGCGTGAGCTCTAGAAACTCCACCCTCTTCTGAAAGGGGAGGCGGGAGCACCAGCTCGTTTTCATTTAAAGGAACAAACACAAAAAACAGCGCGTTTGGCATACCCTAAAAATGGCAATTTCAAAAAGCTATAAAAAAATGTCTGTAGGGTATTTTGAGCTAAAACTTCACATACACACTTTGGGGACATCAGAGACTTATTTTACATCTTGTAAAAAGGGGCATAATAGGTCACCTTTAAAACAGATGCTTTAATCTGCTGAATAAATCAAACAGTGACTGAATGCAGCCCAGCCATCATGGACATTTGCATTACTGAGTGTATTGTATTACTGCTCTATAATTCTTGCCACATTATATTTATTTTATTTATTTATTTTTGTTAAGTTAGGCGTTTATTATGAGAATTATAATAATTATTGATAGTTTAAATAATTCATCAACTGATCAGAAATTAATAAATAGATTAATCATAAAAATAATCCGTAGATTAATCTACTATTAAAAACTTCCTTGTGTAATTTTATCCAAAAAGGCATCTGAAAATTTATTTATTGCTATTTTCCATCTTATTATGACACAGATAATACAATTTTATGGGTTTTATTTTTTAAATTTCCCTTGAAATTTTTAAAAATATAACCGGTCGGTGTACTATAAAAACATCCTGTAAGCTTCAAAACTCAAAACTCTCTCATTCGTTTAAAAGCCGCTTTTATTGAAACCAAGCTCAGAAAACGACTTCTTTTGGAATGTGCCACTTTATGACGTAATAGTGAGGCAAAAGCCCATCTCTGCAGAAGATCAACGCCTGCTTCTACAGCACTGTCTGTTTAGCCCCGCCCACCAATTTAACATCACTGCCTGCTTAGCCCTGCCTACAATTCTACATCACTGTCTGTTTTGCCCCTCCCACCAATTCTACATCACTGCCTGTTTAGCCCCACCCACCGATACATGCTTGTGGCTCAGACTAAATACTTGGTGTTTAGGGTCTGACGACATCACGCAGGCATGGTTTGTTCTCAAGGTCAAGGAGCATGCGCAGTTTACATGCTCCGTGTGAAGCCCGCAAATGTGTGACATCAGTGGTTCATCCGCAATTATATGAAGCTATGAGAATACTTTTTGTGCGCAAAAGAAAAAAAAACATAACGACTTTATTCAACAATTCGTCTCCTCCACATCACTCAGGTGCCATTTTTGATAATATCCGCTGGATGTAAACAACGTATGCTGTTTTGGCACCAAGGTGATGCGGAGGAGACTAATTGTTGAATAAAGTCTTTTTTTTTCTTTTGCGCACAAAAAGTATTCTCGTAGCTTTGTATAATTGCGGATGAACCTCTGATGTCACATGGATTATTTTACAGATCTCCTTGCTACGTTTCTGGACTTGGGAACATTTCAGTTGCGTTGCTGTCTACGCAGGGTCAGACAGCTCTCAGATTCCATCAAAAATATCTTAATTTGTGTTCCGAAGATGAACGAAGATCTTACGGGTTTGAAACGGCATGAGGGTGAGTAATTAATGACAGAATTTTCATTTTTGGGTGAACTAACCCTTTAAGACGTTCCAGGCTACAGTGGTGTGAAAAATTGGAGTGGCCTAGTCAAAGTCCTGACCTGAATCCTATTGAGATGCTGTGGCATGACCTTAAAAAGGCGGTTCATGCTTACAAATGCAATACAAATATTGTAACAGTGAAATTCCTAATAGTAATTCCAAATTGCCATATCCTATGTTTCTCTATTCAAACAACAGCGGTTGAGTAAGTGCATTTATTCAGCGATCACAATAGCAAAAATACAGTCGAGATCTCATGACAGAACACAGACTGGTTGAGTGACGCTTTCATTTAGATCGCTAAACTCCAGCTTATTTGTCGTTTTTTTCAGATCATTGGCGGCGGCGCTTCCGCAATGAGGAGCGAGCGCGCATGGTTGCCAGATTGCTTAAAATAAGCAAAACACTGGACAGAAAATGTATGCTTGTAACAGCGAAGCTCTGATTCGGGGATTAGAACTATTGATATCTGGCAACCGCACTCATGAAAGCTCGCGTAGTAGAGGCGTGTAGAGCAGACCGCAATAACATGTCTCCTTTTTTGGACGTTCGGCGCGTTCTTTTGGGAAAGTATGCTTGAATTTGAAATATTCACGATATTTTCAAATTTTACATCTTCGTCAAAATTATTATCGCTAATATTCGATATATCGCCCAGCCCTACTGTGGTGGCCGGAAGATTTCAACAGAAGGTAGGGGAGCGCGGGGCACAAAGTAACGAGGGGTAAGTTGTAACACACGTGGTTTAAATATTTCCACACATGCTAGCATAACCAACTTTACAGCATTTACTAGTTACCATATCAACATTATATAGAGGAAAAAAGTGCGCCAAAATTCAAAAGTCTTTTGAAGATATTGCTGAAAATTTATTTTACCATAGTAAAATTATATTTCTGGCTTAAGTAAATTTTTCATCTCAGTTTTTATTACTCATTTAAAATGAGACAAATCTGCTATTATTTTAATCTCCAATCTGTTATTTATCAGTTTAGATTATTTTTTAATGCTTCGCTAACAACAGATAAGTAACCAGTTTTAAACTCCAGTTCCACAGATGGGGCACGTTGTAACACTGCGTTACAATGTGCTATTCTATGACATTAGCGATGTAATTTACACTACACGAGAAACAGGTGAATAAAGACTGACAGTCAATGTTTAATGTTAAGAAATTATTATTTCAATACATGTAAAGCATTTTGGCTCATTTATGTGTGCCTTCTCAAGCATGGTTGCAATGTGTTCATTGTCAAACTCCAAAATCAGATTATTTGTAATTCTTAAAAAACGCCATTATTTTATTTGAAATAAATAATTATTTTATTGACAAAATATTTTAGTTTGTCTTGTATATTTTTTTCACTTCCAATTTTTGAGGGTAAATAAAGAAAAACGTATACACTGTAATTATGAAACAAAGCGACATATTTGTACTAGACAAGTGTAAAATTACTGTGGATAAAAAAAATTATACTCTGAACCCCATGTGGATTTACACAATTTGAGAAAGTCAAAAAGTGTTACTTTGTGTCCCGCTCTCCCCTAAAAGCTTACTGGGAGAAGTCAATCCTATTGTACACAGAGAATGAATATGCACATTTGAATGTATACAGTACATTTATTTGTGTAGAAATGCATTACATGTAAAAAGAAAATTAATTTGCATGCAAGTCATATATAGCGATGCAATTTTCTTTAATAAGAAATTCAAATTTGGTGTGAACAATAAAACTGTTCAAAGAGAGCTGAATTATAAAAATTATAGTTCAAGAATTAAGCCAAAGTGACTGGGAAAAACCGAAAATGAACTCTAAATAAATAGCAAAATGCATAAAATGTTTTCAGTATTTCATTGAAAATTGTATCATGTAAATGCCCCCAAAACAAATGAATGCCTTAAATGCCTAAAAGCAGACACAATCTCATGAAAAACACAGTTATGAAGGAGAAAATTGGCAAAACAAAAATGAATAATGAAAGAAATAGACTTTTTCCACTTTCTCCACCTTGCAACTGAGGTCTAAAAATTAGTCAAAATCAACTTAATGTCTGTTTACCTCAGGGACAAAGTCAAGATTCTGAGAGAAAATGTACTTTTAAATATGATCAAAATGTTGCTTCACCGTATTTCAGTCACAGTTGCTGCCATATTTACTGTATCAAAGCTCTTCCCACACTCACAGCACAGAGAGAGTTATTTTCTGGGCCTTTTTTAAAGAGTCAACTAGCGCTGGGCGGTATGACCAAAAATTTATATCACGGTATTTTTCAAAATTATGCCGGCTTCACAGTATATGACAGTATTTTTTTTTTCATGCATGACCGGGTGTTAACCACATTTTCTACTGACTGAGAGAGGAAATACTGCAGTACATTGACTTAGAATGCCATATTTTACTGTCATGATGAGTAAATATTGTAGAAAAATTCCACACTAAATAGTGACTAAACACGACCCATTAATACATGTTAACCAGGAGTCACTCTCATTTATTAACGCGACATCGTCTGATAAAATCAACCTGCATCTACACTAAAGAGCGGTGGTTTTGGCTATATTACTTTTTTTTTACAGCGCACTGCCTGTGTCTGAGTAACAAACCAAAAAAAAAGTGCATAATATTAACAGACGAACTATGCTCATATTTATAATTCCAAACAGTCAGTGTCAGTGGACAGGTGCTTGGAAACGCTGTTTTGAACTCATTTACTGACGAGTCTGCTGCGGTATGGGCAACTGAATGCGCTGCTTCTCTGCCGCTCACTGCACAGAACAGACGCAGAGAGAGGCAATACTGCACCGGGAGAGTCAGACCTCGCTGGGCAGTACAAGCGACATCTTCCAACTGAACAATGGCTAAGGTTCATCCAAAAAATTGCTAGGTTTGTCAGTATATTCTATGGAAAAAAAGCCGCTAAAAGGGTCTGAAAGTTGCTAAATATAGTGCTAAAGTCACGCTCATGTGTGTGAGAAACAGGAGCTGATGGCAGGGGGCGGTGAATATTTGTGGCTGAGTTCACGTTCTGCTAGTTACAGCTTCAGTTTCAGAACTTTCACGCTTAGTAACACATACAGCTGTTCCCTCACCACAGTGCAACAGTGAAAGGAGACCACTCTCAAACAGTGTCGCATTCCGAACGTTGTTTAAACGACATACACCGGTATTGCAGTATTTTAGAAATTCATATCATAAAAAAAATAAACACGGTATTCGGTATGAACCGGTATACCACCCAGCACTAGAGTCAACCCTTAGAAATCTCCTTCCAGATCAGTTCAATTTCCTCACGGCACAGTGAAAGCGATGAACATGAGCTCTGAGACCAGCTTTCCAACTCTTCTCACACAGATGACTTCGCTCCAGTGTGAATTCTCATGTGAATATTAAATCCTTGTTTATAGGCGAAACTGATTCCACACTGACAGCAGGTGAAAGGCTTTTCCGAAGAGTGAGTTATCAAATGAACCTTAAGGTGTCCTTTCTGAATAAAACTCTTTCCACACTGAGAGCAGACGAAAGGCTTTATTCCATTGTGAATCAACATGTGATTCTTCAGGCTTCCTTTACGTGTGAAAGTGTTTCCACACTGAGGGCAGGTGAAAGGCTTTTCTGAAGAGTGAGTTATCAAATGAACCTTAAGGTGTCCTTTCTGAACAAAACTCTTTCCACACTGAGAGCAGGTAAAAGGCTTTATTCCAGCATGAATTAACATGTGATTCTTAAGGCATCCTTTACGTTTGAAAGTGTTTCCACACTGAGAGCAGCTGAAAGGCTTTTTCCCACTATGAATTATCATGTGATTGTTAAGGCTTGCTTTACGTGTGAAAGTGTTTCCACACTGAGGGCAGGTGAAAGGCTTTTCTGAAGAGTGAATATGCACATGATCACTAAGTTGCTTTTTGTGTGTAAAACTCCTTCCACACTGAGAGCAGCTGAAAGGCTTTATTCCAGCATGAACTAACATGTGGTACATAAGGCTTCTTTTCTGTTTGAAAGTGTTTCCACACTGAGAGCAGCTGAAAGGCTTTTTGACTTCTGGTATTTGAATGTTGCCGTTTTCAGTTTTAGAGAAACTCACTGATTTTTCTCCAGTGTTGAGATCATGATCTTTCTGATCCTGATGCTTCTCCTCCACTTCATTCAGATCTTGTCTTTCCTCTTTCACTTTCATCAGGCCTGAAATGAAAACATTATAATGATGAAAATAATTGATGCAGCCAACGTGAGTGAAATACCCGCGCTCAGTTGTCAAGTCATCATAGGCAAGTTATGGCAATGCGCTGCCATTAGAGGTTTTCTGAGGATGTCACCAACTGTTAAAGCATTAGATTTAAAGGTGCACTAAGCGATTTTTGCCAAACGATGTTGATATTTGAAAGCACCAAAACAAACACTCCCATACCCCCAACGGCGATCACGGAAACAAGTGAAGATGACACACAAGCATATTCAAACAAAAGCCAACATGGATAATTTGTGTGAAATGAAGCAAAATCAACGTTACTTACCTATCAAGAAGAACCCTTCTTTTTTTACATTTTGTTTCTCTGATATTTTCCTCTTTTTTTTTAATCTGCCCTCTATCTCTGCTAACATCCGTCCTGTGCACTCAAATTGAGCGCTCTCTTCAAGACACGCCCCCTTACTGCTGATTGGCTACAAGTGTGTTTTGGGACTCGGTCTGACGCTGTGGTCAAAAGCGTTTTTCAAAAACAAACAAGACACTGTCATTGGGCAACTACACAACTCTATATCAAGTCAAGTAACCTTTATTTCTGTAACACTTTATTGAATACAGATTGTTTCAAAGCAGCTTTACAGTGATCAACAGGGACAGAGAAAAAACAGTTGAATTCTGCTGTAAAGCAGCTCTAAAAATGAAATAGTGCTATTGCTTAGCTGAAGTTAGTTCAGTTCCATTGCATCAATTATTAAATTAGTTCAGTTTGGCTATAAAGCAGCTCTGCAGAAAACACCACTGATCAGATCAGTTTAATTTCTCATAGTGTCATTGAAGTCTGACTCTCTAACCATTAGACCAGGGTCAGGATCAGGGCCGTAGCTGGGACACGGTGCAGGTTGTTCCCATGGGCCCTTTTTTAAATTATGTAAATGGTACAAATAAATAAGCAGAACAAAGATGCAAATTAAACAATGTTTAAGATTTTCTAATTTTTTGATGTTCAGGTACAGAAAACGAATAATCAAATGTAAAATATCATTGCACAGTCTTCAAAATATAGATTAATTCTTGTTAAAACTACAAAGTAATTCAGTCAAGAGCAGTGAGTGATTATGGAAGCATATGGGTAGCAGTATTCATTTTGAAATGTAATTTACAAAATGGCAATGCAATATGTAAAATGGCAATGCATTTCTTTATTTAAATTTAAATTTTTCCATACCATATGTGCAATGCTTAGTGCAAAATGAAAATGAAAATTCAATTATATAATTTACATTTGCCATTTCCTACACTAGTTTTAATATGTAAATTAAAAAACATATTTTAACGCTGTATAAGTTGCAAAATTAAAATGTATTACTCAAATCAATTAGATGTTTAACATGTCCAAGCAAAAACTGTAGCAAAATGATCATTTAAATGCCATTTTTCCTAAATGCATTTAGACCACAGTCTATGATTTAGACCTAGAGGTAGGACACATGGAATGCATTTTCATCATGATACCGCGTGATAATTGTAGCAAAATGCAGTGTGAATTTCAAAATGCATTCTGAGCCAAATGTGCAGCAAAAGGGTAGCAAAAATGGTGATTTAAACGTATTTTATTTTTCTTAAATGCATTGACACTTACGCTTAAGAGGTTTGAATTGCATTTTCATTAAATACCCTGCGATCAGTTTAGACTAGTCAATGTGGATTTGAAAATGCATTCCAAGCTGATCACGCCCCCAACCTGTCAATCATTATACTAAGGCGGGGCTCAGCAACAGGACACACAATAGGTCAATATTCCCCATTAACCAAACGCTTTTCACATGCCTCAACATCTCTCACTGTTTTGCACTCCGATTAATGCACATAAGCAATCAATTCTACACTTATTTACTTGCCACCTTACACCGTGGCTACACCGGACGTGACAGTTGTTGTGTTGTGTCGCATCGCTGATTATAATGGGTTCAATACTGTCATTTGTCGCACCGCTCGCGTCCGGTGTAGACACGGTGTTGCCTTCCTGTCTTCTAACCCATAATAGAGCACAAGTCCCGTGGCACCTAAGCGTCTCCGGTTGATGCCCGTGACCATACAGAAAACGCTGCTACTCCTGCCTGCCCCAGATGGTACTTCACCAGTCAGATCTAGACGCAGCTGTCACAGAACATGCCACACCCAAAGTGAGATATCTTAATATTATAAATCACGGGCATCAATCGCGGTGTCCGGTGGCTGCTCTTGTGGCAGGCGCGTGACATGTAGGTGCCACGGAACATGCGCTATATTATGGATTAAGAGAGAGGGAAAAAAATATAGGCTAATGTAAGGTGGTAAATAAGTGAAGAATTTGCTTACGTGCATCACTCGTCGTGCAGACAGTGAGATGTGCGACGCACCTGCAATGCTTAGGTGCTCGGGGACACGCGATCCATTATAGAAGAAGAATAAAGTATGGTGGCAAATAGGTAAAAGTGTAGAATTGCATTGTGTGTTTGCTTATGTGCATCAATCGGAGTGTAAAACAGTGAGAGATGTTAAGGCAGGTGAAAGGCGTTTGGTTAATGGTAAATATTGACCCATTGTGCGTTCTGTTGCTGAGCCCCGCCTTGATGTAATGATTGACAGGTTGGGGGCGTGATCAGCTTAGAATGCATTTTCAAATTCACATTGACTTAAACTACATTATCGCGTGGTATTTAATGAAAATGCAGTTGAAACGTCTTAAGTGTAAGTATCAATGCATTTAAGAAAAATAAAAGACATTTAAATCACCATTTTGCTACCTTTTTGCTGCACCTTTGGTACAGAATGCATTTTGAAAGTTTTGCTTGGACATTTACAGTTTTTGCTTGGAGATTTTATCTAATCAATTTGGGTAATACAATTTCATTTTAATTTTGCAACTTATAAAGCGTTAAAATATGTTTTTAATTTACATATTAATACTAGTGTAGGAAATGGCAAATGTGAATTATATAATTGAATTTTCATTTTCATTTTGCACTAAATTTTGCACATATGTATGGGAAAATGTAAATTTAAAAACAGGAAAACATTGCCATTTTACATATTGCATTGTCATTTTGCATATTAAAGTTCAAAATGAATATTGCTACCCATATGCTTCCATAAGTGATTTTGTCTCTTCTATTTTCTTAGATTAACATTAAGGACACAGACAGCAGCTAGTAAATTAGACGTGGTCACTTTAAGAGACAATGCATCAAATACAATGATACACATCTGATTTCTTTCTCAACTGTTTCGTTCACATAAGACATAACTAACAGATTTTCAATGGTACGCACAAAGACAGGTATTGTGACATAATTTTGTACATATTTGTCCGTTCAAGCACAAGAAGAGGCAAAACTCAATTTGGTGTTCCTGGGCTGTGAGCTGCGGCTCTTTGTGTGTGCACTATGCGCACAGAACACAGTGCGAGGGAGAGAACTCAATTCTGTGTTTGCATGAGTACTCAGTTGAGTTCTTTGGCATCTTGTGCTTGAATGCTTTTAAATCTCTTGAATTTTTAAATTGGCAAGGCTTAAAAACTTGTGCAAATGATAAGCTTTCGTGATGACGAGCAGCAGTGGCCCGTCAGCTGTTCTGAGCATCTTCCATGCTGGAAATCGCTGGAGGGTCCCCCATAGCTGTGGGCCACTGCAACCGTCACCACCTTTCACCCCACTAGCAACGGCCCTAGGGGGTATTCCAGAAAGCAGGTTATGTGACATTACCGGGTATGTTTAAGGGTAAGCGGATAACCTCAACTTTCGGTTACAAAAACGGAGGTAACTTTCAGGGTATGTAAGTAACCATAGCAACTTGCTCTCTGAAGATAACCTGCTCTGGAGTAGGTCACTCGTCGATTCGTCGCTCTGTTGAGAATGTCTTGTGTGTTAACCAGGAACATACTCTTGGTTGAATTAACTTACACCCAGATGCGTTTTTGGAACCAGCATACCTTGAGTAAGCATGCAAGTAAATGCATTTTGCACCTTTATAGATTATGTTAGTTCTCTAGTTAAGTAGCCTAATAGTATTAATCTATTAACTTTGCATAAAAATTCGTCTTTTTACTTAAGTACCAGATATGGTGTCATACCATTAAATCTATTTAATACGACTGACTTTGTATTTAATGTGAAGTTAATAAAAACATAGTAAGTTACTAATTAGCCTATAACACTTTTGTGACGAGAGGGGCGGGGCCGAGAGCCGTGGGAACAGAGCGAGGCCGGTTGAGGAAATGCTAATGCGGGACACCTGCACCACTCACCGGTCTCGAGTCCCACGGAGGAGCGCCGGAAGAATAAAAGGAGGAGTTACGACAGTGAAAAACGAGAGAGGATCAGGCCTGGACTTTATTTTGTGTTTTGTGTGCGGCAGTCGTCTGCGAGGGGCTGCCGCTTTACTTTCATTTTGTGTTTGTTTATTTTATTAAAGTTTTCTTGGAGCATTCGCCGGTTCCCGCCTCCTTCTTCCCGACCTACGAACGTTACAACTTTCTTTGTACAAAAAGAGAGCAAAGAATGTTTACACTATCAAAGAACATTTTCACTTCAGTCCAGCAAATTCAAGCACTCTCAAAAACTCCCATAATAATCGCTAAAGCTGTTTACACTGTAAAATTTATATCTTACTTACATTCGTACATCTTCACTTTGTTGTTTCTGATGAGATAATTAGCCAGAGATTTCAGTCAGCCAGCGCGCGCAGTGACGAAACAGCGTGTTTCAGCGGTGACTCATCTGAACGCCTCTGATTGGTCTTTGTATTCATAAACTCAACATAATAGTATGGGATTGGTTATAATGCACAGTGCTTTAAAAACGTGTGTGTCTCTGACTCTGTGCCAGCCAGCGAACGCAGATTTGAATTTAGCTGCTGGAGATGTTTTTCTTTTTTATATGCATAGTTTACAGGACAAACTGCGCATTTCACCCAAAATTGTTTGGCGTGATATGATTCCAAATTTAGGGGGGCCAAA